AGGTGGCACTGATAGGCGGCACTGATAGGCAGCACTGATAGGCGGCACTGATGAGCTGGCATTGATATGCAGCAATGATGGGCACTGATAGGCAGCACTGATGGGTGGCACTGCTGGGCAGCACTGATGGGTGACACTGCTGGGGGGCACTGGAGGGTGGCACTGCTGGGGGGCACTGGTGGGTGGCACTATTAGGTATTGATGGGCACAGGTGGGTGGCACTGCTGGGCACTGATGGGTGGCACTGCTTGGCACTTGTGGGTGGCACTGCTGGGCATAGGTGGGTGGTACTGGTGGGTGGCACTGCTGGCCACTGATCATCAGGGCACTGATCATCAGTGCCGATCTGTTTTCTGACAACTACCGGTTACCGGCAGTACTTTCCTCATGCTTTGACAGCGTGAGGAAAATGCAGCCGATAACCGGCAACTGCATTTACCCCGTGATCTGCTGTGTCATTGGACACAGCTGATCACATGGTAAAAGGCTGCTGTGATTGGCCTTTTACCACATCACATGATCAGCTGTGTCCGTACTGTGACAGTACGAGTAAGCTTTGATTGCTTGCATTTCTTGTTGTTAATAACACCTCCAGTGAAGTCAGTGATTCAAGGAATTCATCTGTGGGTCTTTAACAGCAAACAACAATTGTTTTTCACACCATGGATCAGGGGCGGACTGACCATTTGGAAACTTGGGCACTGCCCGAGGGCCCGGGGTCACCTGTCACGTGTCCCAGAAGACTACGGGAAGGGAGGACAACTTCCGCTTCTGGGAATCCGGGAAATTCGGGTACCCGCTCCTCAAAGGTGCCAATCGTTAATGGGGAGTGGGGGACAAAGACTTAAAGCGAAATTTCCCCTTTTGGGTGGAGCTCTGCTTTAAGAAAAATGTTGTAAAAACAAAGTACTACTTTAGTGTGATCTAATTATCATGGCAATGCTTAAAGCCTTCTGCAGGGGGCAGACATGTTATGATACAAAGCCGTTTGTGCTGCTTTATCATAAAGTTCGGCCAACTTAACAAGATGAATGTGTTTGCGCTTACACAGAAAGAGTTGCTATCATTTCATTTCAACACATTTATATTTATGCAAGTGAGTCATCTATACTGTAAAACGTCATTACAACTGAGTGTATTTCCTATCTCTAACATTGTGAGCTTTGAACTAAAACACTGCAACAGATTGCCTGCAAGGAAACACATCCCTTTAGGTATTATTTCCCAGCATGATATGTAGGTTGAGCTATGGCTGTCCAACAAATAAAGTGAACCTTTCATTTGCCAATGCAGCAAAAGGAAAAGGTTCACTTAGCTCCCAACTTCCAGCAGCATGTATTTACAGCACGTCCTTGCACTGCTCTGTTCAGCTGGTGAATGAAATACCCCGCACTTCTGGCTGTGGTTGGGTTTGTGAGTCACAACCCTGCTTCCATGGACAGCACTAAGTGCCTCCATTCTTTCCCTGGTCTGGGCAGCTGAACGATGGAGCAAGGAATGGTGAATATGTGCTGCTGGGGAGGTAGGTGCTAAGTTAAACTTTGACATTGCCCTGCATGAACAAAGGAGCTTTTAAAGCCAAACTCCTGCCTAAATGAAATGTAAATAGTGCATTATACATCAATTACCTTACTCCTCAGTCTTTATTCCAAACACATCTTCTTAAGCCATCCTGCAGTGTAATGGATTGAAGTCACAGCTTACTCTATGACCCCAAACTAATTTCCTTCCCTGGTGTCCAGACATTTTCCCTGTTTGTTATCTTCTTGAAAATCGGTCCCCTCGCTGCTCCCCATGGCCTCTGGAGCCCATAGGAGAGGACCCATCCACTGCAACTGTTGCCTCCATCAATAGCAGAGGTCCACATTGTGCAGGCAGGAGAACCCAAGGAAGTAAACAGAAGAAGAGATTGTTATGTGACCATAGCTTCGGGTAAGTAAAACAGGCATTTGGATAGTTTGTTTTTTATCCCAGTGGTTAGTTAAGGAGTGGGGATGTTCTTAAAATCCCGGCTACGCAAGGCTAAACAGTATTTTTTTCTAGTATTTTATTACTTGGGAAGGATTACAACTTCTGTTGATTTGCATTTGCTATTTCTATGTTTCTTTTTCTGTCCCTTTCTAAGAGATTTCACATAATTTCCTGTTCTCTTGGTGTCAGGAAAACTTGTCAGAAGTAAATTATGCTAAAAGCAGAGGAACAAAGCAGCAGACAGAAATGACACTTAGTGCTCTTAATTGAGAGCAGTAAGACACCCCAAGCTGTTACTGCCCACCTCCACCATCACAGGAGCAAGCTATTCAACACTGAGCTCAGAGCTACTGCACTAGGGGAGCAAATGCACATGTGAATCAGAGAAGTAGTTCCTGTGATGATCGGGCCAAACAGTAACAGCTGGGGGAATTTCTTAGCAACATCCTAGAAACAAGGCAAAGCAGTGAGATGAAATCCCTGGGAGTTTTTCAGTCAGTCTTCATGAGGTAAAAATTGCCTACACCTATAGCAAGGGCATTATTGAAAGTGTTCACTTTTACTAGAAACCTGCCTATGCAGATAAGAGGTGTCTGTGGATAATAACAAACTGTGTGTCTCTGACTAAAGTTGAATAATACCCTTGCTATAGGTGTAGGCCATTTATATACCTCATGAAGCCTGACTGGAATACTCCCAGGACGTTGCTATGTGAGGCCTAGTCATTACTGCTCACCTCCACCATCATAGGAGTGAGCTCTTTTTCTGAATAAAAGCCCCCTGTCACGGATACAAATGTACGCCCACGGCAACTACCTAACCGAGGCGTGATCCATGACCATCCACCACTAGAGGGAGACTCCAATCCAGCTGGTAACCACACACAGGCAGATACAAATCTTACATACAATCTGGTGCACTCTAAGGGTTGGGGAGCAGCCTAGCAATTAGCACACCCTTCTAGGATTCCTCCAGCTATCCTACAAGCTAGAACTGTGGTGTTAATCACTCTTCCACTGTCCACACCCCCCTACACCAGACACACAACAAACGATAGCTTGCTACCACCCAACAGTTTGTCCACAGACTGTTCTGCTGGGCCACCACACACACACACAGATCTCCATCTGGCAGATCTGCTACTTTACAATCTGCATGCAATCTGCCAACACGCAGTGCAATTGCATAAAGATTGGCAATGAACTTAGACTGACACTACAATACAACAGTCTCTCCGGAGATATTAGCCTGAGCTTAAGTACCCTGAAGTCAGTTATTATTTTTATGATTTAATATCTTGAAAGTGGGCAGTGCATAAAATATATACAAAGAAGAAACAGTTACATAAAATACAAAAAAACAAAAAGACGCAGAATTGGCTATTTGCTATAAAACAAAAAGGGAATAAAAACAGAAATAAAACATTTACCAAGATTTGTCCTGCAACTGGAGCAAGTCAAAGAGAGTCCACGATTCGCCATTCATATGGAACCGGCTCCTTATGAATCACCCCATCCATATCTCAGGGTCCTCAATTTATTGAAATATGGACATGGGCTGGACTTTAGACCTTGGCCAATCAACCCTGGGGGGTGTTCCTGTACCAGCCCACAGGGTGTTCTGTGTTCTGAAGTGTCCAATCTCGAATGGCCTGGAATGGTTTGGATCACTGGGTCAGGGATAGGATTTCTGACACCAGCGTGTTAGTCTGATCAGGACAGTACCAAACATTGTTTAGCTGTCAGTCAGGAGCCATATAACAGTTTTATGTGTTTCTCTGGGATTCTAAAGAGGCTACAAATACAGTTTTTCATGTAGATGTAGCCTACAGTGTGTCCAATCAGAAGGAATGATTTTCATCTCTCTGCAACTAATATTTTAGCTTTTATGAGAGATGAAACAGATTCCTCTGATCTATTGGTATAAATCAAAGATGGCAGACCTTTCCAGCCTTCTCTCGGTCTCCTGCTGACTTTTGTAGCCGAAATGACTAAGATTCTTCTTTTAGGTTCAAGAAGGTGGCAAACTCTGGCTACATAGGTGAGAACGTTTTATTGGTATCTAGGTGACAACTGTAGCCTAGAAGCTGCTCTGTACTTTCAGATACTAATTGGTGAAAATATGTCTTGACTGAATACTTATCTTTAATAACACAGAACTAAACTAGATCTATAATTACATATTTCTGCTGATCACCTCACATCTTAACTACTGATAAATGATTCTACTCTTACATTTATGTTACACCCTTACATGCTCTTTCTCTTCCCTGATGCAGTAGCTCTGACCTCAGCATCTGAGAGCTCACTCCTGTGATGGTTGAGGGGAACAGTATTGACTAGGCCTCACCTAGAAACTCCTTTGGAGTTTTCCAGTCAGGCTTCAGGAGGTATGTAAATGGCCTACACCTATAGCAAGAACATTACTCAACTTTAGTCAGAGGTGCACAGTTTGTTTTTATCTACAGACACCTCTTATCTGCATAGGCAGATTTTTGGTGAAGGTGAACTATCACTTTAACTTTGGTCACAGCTTTACTGTTTGTTTTTATCTACAGATGTCGCTTATCTGCATATGCAGTTTTCTGGTAAAGGTGAGCTATGCCTTTAACCACCTCCCGCCCGCCATATAGTTCAATGACAGGCGCAAGGTGGTTCTCTCGTTTTGGGAGGACGTCATATGACGTCCTCCCATTCTCACCGCACATGCGCGACTTGGGGAGCGCGCAGCGCGGCGATCGGCGGTGCTTTGTGTCCCTCGGACACAGCGGATCACCGATCTACGGAAAGAGCCAAAGATGTTGGCTCGGTCATGTGATCAGCTGTGGCCAATCACAGCTGATCACATGGAAACAGGGAAATGCCGATTACCAGCATTTCTCTCCTCTCGAGCTGTTACGCTGACAGCTCGAGAGGAGAGGAGAGCCGGTAATCGGCATTCCGTGGAGGGGACATGTACACTGATCATCAGGGCACTAATGATCAGTGTGCCCTGATGATCAGTGTGGCCCCAGAAGTGCCACCTGTCGGTGTCCATCAGTGCCAGCTGTCAGTGCTGAACAGTGCCACGTGCCAGTGCCCATCAGTGCCACATCAATGCCACATATCAGTGCCTACCAGTGCACATCCATGTCACATATCAGTGCCCATCCGAGCTGCCTTTCAGTGTCACCAATCAGTGCCAGTCAGTGCCACCTATCAATGCCACCTATCAGTGCTGCCAATCGGTGCCACCTATCAGTGCTGCCAATCAGTGCTACCTATCAGTGCCAGTCAGTGCTGCCTATCAGTACCCGTCAGTGCCGCCTATCAGTGCCAGTCAGTGCCGCCTAACAGTGCCAGTCAGTGCCACCTATCAGTGCCAGTCAGTGCTGCCTATCAGTGCTGCCTTTCAGTGCCCATCAGTGATGCCTGGCAATGCCCATCAGTGCCACCTACCAGTGCCTCCTCATCAGTGCCCATCAGTGCCACCTATCATTGTCCATCAGTGCAGCGTCATTAGCGCACATCAGTGAAGGAGAAAAATCACTTATTTACAAAATTTTATAACAAAAACTTTTTCAGTGGTTTTTGGTTTGTTTAAGAAAAAATAAAAAACCCAGAGGTGATTAAATACCACCAAAATAAAGCTCTATCTGTCACAAAATAAAATGATAAAAATTTCATATGGGTACAGTGTTGTATGACCGTGCAATTGTCATTCAAAGTGTGATAGCGCTAAAAGCTGAAAATTGGCCTGGGCAGGAAGGCGGTATAAGTGCCCTGTAGGCAAGCGGTTAAAGAATAAGTTCACCTTCTGGACAAAAATAATAAATGTACATTTTTTACAGGTAAAAAAATGTGCTTTTATTTTTTTTTGTCCAAAGGAACCTGGAAAACATTGCACCAGCGATCAGAAGATTGCTGATGCCATACGGGTCTCCTGCAGACCTGTCAGAATATCTGCTTGCCATACGGAATGTACGGGCAAGCAGATATTCTGACAGGAAGCTTCAATGAACTACCACGGCGCTCCACAGCGCCGAGGTAGTTCATTGAAAACTACAACATGACAGCTGCTAAGGCTGTCAGGACCTGTAGTTCATTCATTCATGGAAGTCCGTGAATGAATGACACCGTGGGTGAAGCCCCGCACGGCCACGCTGTTTTCAAATCTGAGACGTCTCACCTAAAAACGGGTGTAACATGTAACGTGCTCCCAAAGGTGAACTTATCCTTTAAAGCTGAACTTCAGGCAAACACGTATGCAGATGCGATGCATATAAGTGATCTGTTTATCTGCCAAAGGATTTTTATTTATGTCCATCCAGTCCTGAGATTTACACAGCACTGCCACAAAGCACAGCGCTGTCTGGCAGGGAAGGGAACCAGATTTTTATTGAGTTCTCACATTACATAAAGACTATGGAATAAGGTTAGACACAATAAAAGGACAATCTCCAGCTGTACATGCGTGACACATAAATGAGTAAGCATGCACTGTATCCCTGGAAACAGGCATGCAAACTGGAAGGAGATTGAGATGAAGAGTGAATGCGTCATATAGCTAACCTTGATAAAATGTACCCAAGTATATCTAGGTTTTGAAGAGACTGGGAAATAGCAGAGAAAAGGAAAACTAGAAGTAGAAGTATGGGAGAGTGGAGGGATAGGGGTCAAGGCACATGAGGATAGGGAAGGTAGAAGAAAGGGTACCTATAACCTTACTTGGGACAACCAACAGCATAAAAGAACCCCTGTCTCAATTTATAATTGTGAGTCTCATTTGACAAAGGTAGGTGGAAAGTGTCACATATACCTTGTAGCCCCACTCACCGGTCACATCCGTGTGTGTGTTTGTGTGTGTATATAATGTGTGTGTGGATCAAACCCAAATCCAAAAAAAACAAAATTCATACGATTTTACTGGCACAGAAGGGAACACAATTTACAACATATAAAAATATAAACACATTTTATTACAAAATGTTTGTTGTAAGAAAAAAGAGACCTACTAATGCAGGCCATAGACGGGTCGAAAACTGGACGATTTTACTTTAAAAAAATGAAAAATCGGTCGTTCAAGCGGCCGACATTACCAGCAACGGTAAAAAAATCGGCCGATTTTCATCCCTTCTACAGCCGGCAAAAAGTGTCCCTGCAGAGAGCTCTGCTATTTCTTTGACAGTTCCTTGACATTTATAGCGGTTGCAACAATGTATCTATTTGTATCCATTTAGGATACAGATGTTTTTATTTGGAAACAAATACATTGTTGCAACCGCTATAAATGTCAAGGAACTGTCAGAAGAAATAGCGGAGCTCTCTGCAGGGACACTTTTTGCCGGACTGGAATTCCTCTTCTTCTTCATCCTCTTCTTCTTCCTCTTCTTCTTCTTCATCCTCTTCTTCATCCTCTTCTTCTTCTTCATCCTCTTCTTCTTCCTCTTCTTCATCTCTTCTTCATCATCCTCTTCTTCTTCTTCATCCTCTTCTTCTTCTTCATCCTCTTCTTCTTCTTTTTCATCCTCTTCATCCTCTTCTTCTTCTGCTTCTTCATCCTCTTCTTCTTCTGCCTCTTCATCCTCAACTTCTTCTGCCTCTTCTGCTTCTTCATCCTCCTCTTCTTCTGCTTCTTCATCCTCTTCTTCTTCTTCTTCTTCATCCTCTTCTTCATCCTCTTCTTCTTCATCCTCTTCTTCTTCCTCTTCTTCATCCTCTTCTTCTTTTTTCTTCTTCTTTTTGTCTTCCTCTTGCAGGTCACTGCTCATGCGCAGATTTTTTTATCGGTAAAAGATCGGCCGATTTGCCCATCATTGCCGCGAAAATCGGCCGATCGGCAAAATCGGCTGATTTTTTTTTCAACTTTACCGATAAAAAAAATCTGCCAAAATACCGAAAAACGGCCGAACATTTAGCCCACTAACGATCCGAAAATCGGACGATTTTATTTTTCGGCCAAAAAATCGGCCGATTTCACTGTTCAACAAATTTTTATTTTTTGCCAGTTTTGGAAACAAAAGGATCCATTTCTTAATGAATTTCACATTCTGAGTTCAAATATAACAATGAAATTAGTCAATTGGCTCTAGTTTTTCTGTAAACGGAAAGTTTTTCTACTATAGGCGTAATGACTACATAATGCACAATAATTATATAGATAGATGTCTTTCCACAAATATAAAGCAAGTGATATTGACTACATAACAAAGCCTAAATGGCATAATATATTGCATAGGATTACCAAGAAAAATTATAGCCATAAGCTAAGTTTGAATCATTTTAATACTTAGGATTCTCACTAGTTTTGTCTTCAGTTTGTGTCGGTTTTGCTTCTCTTGGCTTTTCTCTTGTATTCGAGGAAAGGGCTATCTCTTACAACTGTCCAGCAATAGTCAGCAAGCATTGATGGGCTCCATTTACCTTGATATCTTCTTTCCATAGCTGCAATGTCTTGATGGAAGCGCTCTCCGTGTTCATCACTCACTGCTCCACAGTTTGGTGGGAAAAAATCCAGATGCGAATGTAGAAAATGAATTTTTAGAGACATGTTGCAACCCAGATTTCTGTAAGTCTGGATGAGTTTTTCTACCACTTTCTTGTAGTCTGGTGTTTTATTGTTTCCAAGAAAATTTGATGTCACTGATACAAATGCTGTCCAGGCAGCCTTTTCCTTTCCATGCAACAGAGAAAGAAACTCATCATCATGAATAAGTTTACGAATCTGTGGCCCAACAAAGACTCCTTCATTTATTTTTGCAGCACTAAGTGCTGGAAAAATTTGCTAATCAGGTACTTGAAACCTGCTTTATTCTTGTCCATTGCCTTAACAAAGTTTTTCATTAATCCCAACTTGATGTGTAATGGAGGTAATAAGATCTTATTGCTGTCTACAAGTGCTGGATAGTTAACATTTTTTTCTCCAGGCTGCAATGACTGGCGTAATGGCCAGTCTCTTTTGGCATAGTGCATTTCTCTCGCACGGCTGTCCCACTCACAGAGGAAGCAGCAGTACTTAGTATATCCACCTTGAAGTCCAAGTAGGATAGCAATCACCTTCAGGTCACCACAAATCGACCATTGATGTTCATCATAGTTGATCACCTTAAAAACTCTTTCAAGTTTTCATACGTTTCTTTCATTGAAACTGCGTAAGCAACTGGAACTGATGGCAGCTGATTGCCATTATGGAGCAAAACAGCTTTAAGACTCGCCTTTGAAGCATCAATGAACAGCCTCCACTCATCGGGATCATAGCATATGCCGATGGCTGAGATTAAACCATGAACATTGTTACATACAGCAATATCACCTTCCTGGACGAAGAATGGGATCAGATCTTTCTGACGATGACGGTAGAAAGACGTACAAACATCACTTGCTAGGAGATTCCACTGCTGTAGTCCTTGACCCCAAAAAGCTCTGCCTTGTTCTTCGGAAGATCCAGGTCTCTGATAAGATCGCTCAATTCCACTTGTGTAATGAGGTGTGTTCAGTGGGTGTGGATGGAAGAAAGTCTGGGTCATGTGAGGTTGACGGTTGATGACTACACGCTTCAGGTTCTTCCTCACTTGACTCAACCACGAAGGATTCTGGTGCTTTAGGAATTGGTAGCCCCTCTCCATGAGGAACTGGACGTATTGCCGATGGAATATTTGGATAGTGCACAGATAACTTTTTCTTCTTATTTAGCCCTTTTGTTGGAGGCACCATACAAAAGTAACAATTACTAACATGATCTGTTGGCTCTCTCCAAATCATTGGCACAGCGAAAGGCATAGATGCCTTTTTTTCCATTCAACCATTGCTCCAGTGCCGTCCCACAAGAATTGCAGATATATGTGGTGCCCAGCTCTTGTCCTGGTCTCCTATCTTGCAGCCAAAATACAAGTTGTAGGCTTTCTTAATCATTCCTGTTATCCTCCTTTTTTGTGAGATAAAGTTATTTCACCGCAGATATAGCAGAAATTATCTGCTTTATTCACACAAGTTCGAGGCATTACTGAGTAGCCTATATAAGCATAAAACGAAATGTAAAGACGCTGTCGAACTACAATCAGCTACAGATACTGCAGCTTTTATGCAGTGAAGTGATGCAATTAAAGGCTAATATTGCATCATCTCAGTATACATGCAATTTTTTATTGGTCACCAGTATCAATTGCGCAATATGCAGCTGAAGTTGCATCATAATTTTGAATGGCTTACGTCATTATATGGGTGAATATATCATGGAAACTAGAGCCAATCAACATTTTTTAGGGTCATTTTCGTTTTCAGCACCCCAAAATTATGTCATGGAAACTAGAGCCAATCAACATTTTTTAGGGTCATTTTCGTTTTCAGCACCCCAAAATTATGTAAGATTAGCTAATTTTATGCCCAAAACTTT